TAACGAGCCGAACACGAGCTGTTCGCGAACAACGAGCCGTTTTGACAGCCCTAGCCTCAGCGAAACGAAGTGGGGGTCATGCACTTTGCTTTGCATTAGTTTGAATTGAAAATTTCAGTCTAATAATATTTCTGATTTATTTGTATGCAAGCTCCAACTATCATATGGTGATAGTTATATGTTATCATTTTATCAGTCACACAATCTCTCATTTGTGAAGTTTCTTTTGTATGCCTTTAAAGAGACATAAATGAGCTTATTTACTTTTCTTTTTTGAATTATGCCATGAAAATTTTGTTGAAAACTTTACTTTCGTTGAATTGGCGTTGTGACTAGTTTGTTTGATCAGCCGGTTTGATGCATTTTTTTTGTGTTTCAGGCAGTAGTAAATCGCATTGCAATTTCATTTATCCTAGCGTTAAGTTAAATGTCATATATCTGGTCATGTGTGTGCCTCTAGATTTGGTGATTTTCACTTTTTGGACTAATTACTCGAAGAGCCTTTTTCGTGATTTTCTAGCCACAACACACTATAGCTGGTAGTATGGAAATTATGAATGTATCTTGGTCGGCCATTTCTTCCATTAAACTTCAGGGTTCAATTGACTTACAATTTTCCTACAATGTGTATAGTTAGGATTGTAACTGAGCCGAGCACCTCGTGGGCCGGCTTAAATTTGGCTCGAGAAATGGCTTGTGAGCTAAGCTCGATTAGCTAACAAGCCAAGTTCAAGCTATCCCTGACTCGATTCTTTAACTTGTGAGGTGGCTCGTTCTAAAAAAAAAAATATTAATATAAAATTTACTCAAAATATATTAAAAATCAAGATTTTATCTTTAAATTATTTAAAATGTTATAACAATGATATTTGACTTCAGATATGGTTAGTTTATGAATAATACCTCAGATAGTACTTCAGATATGGTTAGTTTATAAATGAATGTATTCAACAAGTATAGTGACTTGATCATTACAAGTGTTGAATGTTGGAGAAATGTCAAATATACTTATGTTTGTGTTTCAGCTCATTAAGATTTTAGGATTTGGCTCATCTTCTATCTTCATTGGCCAAATCAATCACATTAATGTCCTTATACTCCGAAAGGATCATAGTTAACTGGATTTGTTTAATAATTGATTTTTTTTCTAGTCTCAATCTCATGCAGCACTTTATTAAGCTAGTCCTTGAGTTTTTGGAATAAGGCTATGGATAAAGTTGAGTCTCACGAATATTAGCAAGCTATCTTTTAATTGTTATATGCCTATGTTTGCATTTTTTTGGTATTTGTAGACATTTATGCTCCAGTGTTTATCTATGTGTGTTTATGTGTGATGTTCACCTCATCTATCAATGAGCTTTGGATACTCTTGGACTGGGCTGCTGAGATGGCCTTAGGATTTATATAGCAAAATTAATATGGATACACGTAGAAGGGTTGTTTCATAAATTTCTTTCATTTATGAAATGGTAGTTTGTTTCTTGAGTTGGAAATGTGATGTTTTTCAAATGTTTATTTTTCAAAATCTTAAGTTGTTATAGCATGTGAGAGTTTTATGATTAGTCCCATATTGAATGGTTAGAATATATATGATTATGTAGGTGCTAAAATAAATCTGGAAAGCATTATTAAGCATTGTTTGCTGCAGAGGGTATCCATGATTCATACTGTAATAAAGGCGTTTTATTGGTGATAAAGTGAATGTTCTTCATGGGCTATCGTAGGAAGATGAAGCTAACATTTGCTCAAGTGAGCTGATTTGTTTGAATATTTTGAAAGAACTTAGTTGGGGCAAATAATACTTATGTCTTGAAATGTGTAATCATTGCAAAGCACTCGACGACCTGAGGGAGAGTTTATTTTCTAATTTTCATTAAGTGTACATGTTTACAATGATGTTAGGACAGTCATAATCAAATTTGGTTTTCATTTCCCTGCCTATTTTGGAAGCATATGGTATATTGGATTCTATAGTAAGAAATTGTGTGCTCGTCTATCTCTCGACTCGTTAGGTTTGAATTGTAGATACTAATGAACATTATAAAATGACCATTGCATGGAAAAATCGTTCCTTAGTTAATCCATGTGGACCATGTATAGGGGCCACTTATCTTCTGTGTCATTGTAATTTTCTTTGATGACTTTTAAGTTTGGCTTCAAATATGCTTTAGAAATACGGCGATAGTTGGCTTTAATTTTTGTTTGCTCATTGTACACCAAGGTTTTTCATATCTAGATCATTCCCATACATTAGGCTTACTCAAAGGAGTTTCACTTTGATCTTATCGTGCCCATATTCTATTTTGGTTTGCTCATATCATATTTTGTTTGACATATTGTGTTTTTATATACACCCAATAGGATTAGGCCTAAGCTTTTATCTTACTAGGCTCTTACACTAGTCGGATTCTATCATTTTTTGCAATAAATCATTTATTAAAGTGTCATACTCATCGTTTGGTTGATTCTAGACTATACCCTAAAGCTTAGTTAGTTCTTGCTCATATGCTAATCTAGTCTGTTAGCCAAAATACCTCCTTAATTATTCTACTATACAACTTACTTCTTGCTCTAGCTAGCCTAGATAGCCAACCCTAGTTAATTAGGACCCATTTAAAATGATGTTTAGTGCACTTAACTGATTTAAGGTGCCAGTTCTCCTCTCAACTTCCTGTTGTCTGGCTCCGCTCTCTCTAAGCTTTCTCTTAGGGCTTCTGCATGACAAACAAATTTAATATATTAGCATTGCTATTATATTTTGTCTTATTCACCATTTCTATCTTTTTACTAGTTTGCCACTCCGCCTATCTATAAAAGTACATGTAATATCTGTAAGCAGATTAGAACCATATTCAATGTAATCAGATGGTATTAAAGAATGAGTTACTTGTCTTTCTTTCGGCTTATTCTTCAATAATTTCCCTCTCTTCTCTTCTGTTTTTCTCCTCTATCTTCTTCAACAGTGCATAAGCTTCTTCACCATTCACAATAATTCAATTCATTGGTCCCAATCCAAAGTCAAGATAGACCTTGATTTGTTCAAACCCTTCCCAATCAACCATAGGATAAGCTAGCACACCTTTTATTTACCTAGAACTCTAGGTTAATCACCCATATTATAAAGTCCACCCAACTCTATGCCTAGAGCCTAAGGTTAAACCAAAAACATAGGATTTGTCGATTGAGCCTAGAATTAATCCTAGCCCTAAATCAAGATTCAAACCAACATAGTTGGACTCCTTAGACTTGATTCAAATATTCTTGAAGCACATGTAGCAAATTTTACGCCATCATTACACATTCTAAAGAATTATTCAAATCATTTATGAGACATCGCCCGTGAATTATAAGGTTTTTTTTCTTAAATCATAACTATATAGTGTGGTTAACTTACTATTAATGAAGAATTTTGAGTTGTTGCATCTTCACGACAACGATTATTAAGTATTTTTGGTCGGCTTAATGGAGCGTTTTCAATTCTTATGTATAACTCACAATTCTTATGTATTTACATATACCTACACTTTCATATTTACATACGTATTATTTTGGTGCTTTAAATGTATGCATGAGAAGGTGCATTTCTCTTAAAAAAAATAGTAAGTGCTATTGTTGATGTGGGACTATAGATTTGAGTGAATGTTAAATAAGTTGATTCTTGTAATGATATGATGGCGATGATGGGTGGCAAGGTAGTTTAAATAGGCTATTAACAAATTATGGTATATTTGTAATGCAATATCTTCCCTTATATCTTTCAAAATTACCTAAGCAACCCCTACATTCATAGTACATCAAAGACTTTTTGATGTGAATTAAAGAATCATAAATAGAATTCAGTGTATTTATATTTTCTAAGTAAAATTAATTCATCAAGAACTCAAGACTGCTTTGCTTTTCTGCATCATGGCTCAAGGTATTATTTACGTACAAGCATGCATTTCTGTATTAAATTTTGGAAGATTTACATACATGCCACTCAATGCCTATGTATTTACAAATATATGACCTAAACTTTAATTTTTTTACATGCATTTCACCCTATTTATGTATGAAAATGTGCATAGAAGTTAAAAATGGTGGTATTCTTTTTTTTGATGTGCAAAAACTTGGTGGTAGAAATGCAAAAAATAAAATTCTGGTGTTAGATATATAAATATATAGCAATTGCTTGGTATATATGTGATAGTAATGCAATTGAAAAAAAAAAAGTTGCATTTAAGTGGGCCCCACGTCATATCTACAAAAGATTATATTTGAAAAAAGTCAGTAGAGCCTTGACCACTAATTTCGTTATTGCTTACCCTTAAATTGTAATATATATATATATATATGCGAATGATCTGACTCTTTGGTGCGGTCTCTGACGTAAGTCCCTCAAGTTGGGGATTCGATATTAAGCAATGACCACTAATTTTGTCATTGCTTACCCTTAAATTGGCTCATTGGATCATATACATGCACACCTGGGTTTTCAACCGATTGAGGAAATCGATAGTTGGTGCCCACAGGATCAATTATCGATTTAACCTTTTTGAATATATATATATATATATATATATATATATATATTATTTATAATATTGCAATATGCACTTAAATTATTCTGCAATTATATTTTTCTATATAAGTTTAAAATTAATTAATTTACTTATTTTCTCTTATTAAAAAATTTAATTTCGCCATTGCTTACCTCAATGATTTTGAAATTCTTAAACGGTGACGGCTTCAAAGAGTACAATCCAAAGAACTGAATTTACTTGAAAGGTCTGCATTGACAAAGAAAGTCTCGAGCCTCAGTTTTGACCCCACACGCCAGTGTAAAGGCAAAATACTTACATCAACCCTCAATTTTGATACTGTCTCATCGTGTATTAAATTATTTATTTTTTCTATTAAGAGGACCGGGGCTATACATATAACAGACAGTAATCAAAGTTCTCAAATATTTTTACATCAGCACTCCTGATGTAATATTAATAGATCTGTTTGGGCATACAAATTACTTAAAATATTGATATTTACAAATTAATCAATCGGGCGAATTTTTTATAAATAGCAAGTTTCAGGTGGTGTGTATATAATTAACCCGTTGAACAAATGGGTTCATAAATCAATCAAATGGAAAATATAAATTCAAATCGACCAAAAAAATTTAATAAAAGCAATCGGAACCGAACAGAAATGTAATTTTATTAAATGAATTATTTTTTAAGTAAATTATGATATATCATATTTTTAAAAAAATATTAAAAGACAAATTTATGCACTATAATTACAAACTGCATTTCTATCCCTTATATCACCATCCCTTCAAAACTTGAAATTTTAAAATAATAAAAAAAAGGTATTTTATGTATTCAATTTATCTTTTAAAGTGAATTTAATTATTTTAATTCTAAGAATAATGGATTTTTGGTTTATTTGATTTAATGAAGATTAGAACCAATTTTGAATATTAAAGTTTTAAAATATTAAACAAATTAATATTTAAAATAAAAAAAAATCAATCAAAAGAGCTTGATCTAGTTTGAGTTTTTGATTTTGACTAAACATTGCACACCCAAAATGTTGTCATACTAAAATGTAGTCATACTAAACATCTTAGTGATATTAACCCATCAATAAAAAGTGATTTGGCCG